CCCCACTGCACACCACTATTGTGTTCTGTATTGATGTGGGCTGTAGAATGGTACCACAGTGGTACCAGATATCTGGAAATGCCGGAAATGTCAGCTGCTGAAGATTCTTCAACCACCAATACTGGGCTACAAAGCGAAAATTGCTGGTGAAGGTAGCAGGTTCTAAAATTAAAAAAAAAAAAAAAAACCAAATGTGCGGAAATGAATGACCTAAGAGCCATACATGCTGGGATCAGCTGATTTTGTTTATCACGGCCTGGGGAAGGGGGCGCGATAAAATATGTAATATCTAGGTTGGTGTCCTTATTGTGGGGACCAACAAACAAGACCAGTCACAAGTTTCTCCAAAAAATGACAGCTAAAGTAGCTTGGGGGGGTGATCTGCTACTCCCCTGAAGTTTTTGGTTACTGGCGGGATGTTGGTTATGTAGCCAGTCTTCAGTAAGGTGGGTTCATACTATTGTGTTGCGGTAACATGTGGCCAATGCAGCGCCCTTGCAAATCGCCAAACATACAGTATTTGTTGTGATGCACTGATTTGGTCTGCTCTGGTCCATTAAGCAGCCAATTCAAATGAATGGGCTGCTTTTACGCAAGGCATGTTAATACATGACTAAACAAGTTTGCTTGAGAAATTTGGTCGTTTTGAGGAAATGCGTTGGGAGTCAGGACCTTATTTGTGTGTGTGTTTTTTTTTTTTTTTTTTTTTTTTTTTCCCCGTTTTCTTACTTACAATTCAACGTCTTGTATTGCTCATTTGATTTTCCTGACAGAACAGTTTCCCAGGCTGTGTTGGGATGTCCCTCTTCTTCTTGCCAGTCTAGCGTGTAAACCGCAGTCTTGTAATCAGAAGTCAACTGCACGTTTTCCTCTTGCTATATGAAATCCTGTTTTACCTAAATATTTTATGAAGGTCAGTGACCCCCTCAGTGATTCTTTTTGATCTGTGTGTCTATGAAGCTGACGCTCCGGCAATTGGAAGAATGAAAGTCCCAGCATCTCTTGGTATCAAGAAAGAAAAGCTTGTTTGAAGGACACACTTGACACACTTATTACAGATTGTGTTCAACTGCTTGTCTGGACTTCTGCTTTAGGTACAAAGTTTAAAAACTTAAATGGATTTTGCATTTCTTGCCAAAGGATTTTTAGTTATGTGCAGCCAGTTCTGTGATCCTCTGCCAGACAGAATAGACAGACCCTTGACTTCTACGGCAGCAACAGCACAGCTTGAACAGTGGGTAGGAACATCCCTAGCTTACTACTTGGGCAAAGAAACCGCAGCTGCCGACTGATGGTTTGTAGGAGATTACAGGGGGCTGTTATCAAGACAGGTTCAAGCTGGGTAAATTTTGATGGTTTTTATTAAATAAACATATCAGTCTTACCTGCTCTGTGCAATAGGCTTGCAAAGAGCAGCCCTGATCCTCCTCTTCTTGCGTCCCCTGCCGGCGCTCCTAGTCCCCCCCCATAGCAAGCCTCTTACTTTGGGGGCACTCGTGCATGCTCACTCCTGAGCTGGCTCTGTGTATCCATTGACACACACAGCTGCTTGGACCCGTCCCCTCAGTGACTGTGATTGACAGCAGCGAGAACCAGTGGCTCACTCTTCTGTCTCAGCCAATGAGGAGAGAGTAGAGAGAGCCTCTACCTACAGGCAGAGCACTGGATCGAGATCAGGCTGAGGTAAGTAAAAGGTAGGGGGGGCTGCATCCAGAAGGTTTTTTTGGCTTTTTATGCATTAAGCCACCAAAACAAAATCCTTCTGCCTTTTAGAACCACTTTAACTGCGTAAAATACAGCGTGAAGTATACAAGCGTTACATGCCTACTTTGAGTTAAAGGAAACCTTTTGCAAATCTGGACAATTCAAACTGCGCATCCGATGAAGAACAGAAAAAAAAAGCATAAGCAGTGGTTACTTTTTGTCAAAATGATCAGCCGATACACAGATGTAGCAACTGAAGTTGTATGTTTTTATATTTCAGTCAAAATTCATGTGTGGTAAAACATATAGGTGTGAATGCAGCCTTAATGAGTAATAAAATAATTCAGGAAGTATCACGTACCTGGTGATGGCGGCCAATGGAGAGAGGGCTTCCCTTGCAGCTAAGTTCCGGACTTTCCTGAGAGTGGGACAGCGGGAGTCAGGACCAAAGTTGCACAGGTCGCCTGTAGGAGTGCTGCTTGGTGATCCACTCAGAAGCACAGCTGGTGCATGGAAATAGGTCTGCAGACTGGAGGCACCTGTGCGTGGTATGCAAGCCCTTCCGGGATTTGGATGTTTACTGGGTAGTCTGTTCAAGCCAAGGTCAGGTACCAGGTGGGAATCAGAGCGGACGTAGTCAGGTGGGGAAGCCAAGGTCATTCACAGAGGAGCGAGAGAGAGTAACCGTAAGTCAAGCCGAGGTCGGATCAGGGGTAAATCAGAGTAGACAGGTCCAGGAGCAAGCCGAGTCGGTAACAGGAAATCACAAGTCAGAAACACAGGAACCGGGAACAGGAGCTGGAGGTCAACCAGAGGAAGTGTGATGAGCCTCCTTTATAAAGGCCGTCTGGCACCAGACTGAGGCTGATGTGTACTTCTGCAGCCATGTAGAGTATTGGCAGAAATACCAGATCTTCCAGAACTCCTGCCGTGGAGAGGACCCTGACAGGAAGCCTAAATAAATAGTTGCACAATATACAACCAAAGTCTTCTTTCACACAGGCACCTTCAATGGATCCCCTGTTCATTTGGTGCAGAACAGGATGGATGTCACGTGTTTTTAAAAACTGGAGTTTTTAGGATCCATATTAGACCTATTTGCAGCCATATACATCAGATGGCCTCCCATCCATTATGTTTAGGTTGACAAAAATTGGAAAAGAATGCAGACCTTTCCAGTTTTTTTTTTTTTTTTTTTTTTTTTCTTTTTTTCCCCCAACATGGACAAGCTTGCAGGCAAGCACATGTAAACAGACATGCGTCTGTTTACATTCACCTGCACATAGCCTTACATACAACTTCCAATTAGTTCCACCTGGAAAAACGAACAGGAACAAATATGTTGGGTGTTTTTTTTTTACCGCCTTTTGGATGGAGTAGGAAAGACTAAAACCCCTATCGGAATTTTTTTTCCTTGTTGTCTTTGTCCTACTTGGAATAGTTCCCTTCACTTGTTTTACAGACTCAAAAGGAAGTTAGAGGAATTATCCCCACCAAGATGGGAGTTATTTAAGGCTGCTATACATTGCTTGAGTTTTTCATATGATTCGTGTTTCCCCTGTCTGCATCACCCAGCTCGACAAAAAAATTGATCAGTTGACTTTTGTTGAAGGAGCGGAAAGCAGTCAGCTGAACAGTGCCTTCAGTCAGTTTGATGCAGACGACTTCTGGAACTGGTTGTCAAAATACAATAGCTGTCGGGAAAGATTTGTCCATCCACACTGTTTAATATGGATGTGTGTGTGGCCAGATTTAGACTGTTGTTATGAGAATAATTTGTCTCCTTTGGAATATTTCCCCTTACCTTTTTGCTCTCACCATCCCTTTTTTGTCTTAGTGATAGCAGTCATCAGGACAAATAGAGGTTTAATCTCCCCATTGGAGATGCAGAGAATAAGAAATCGATAGAAGTAGGTTTTGCCTTTACACTTTAATTTTTAGGCTCCATGTACACGGGACACTTCTGAACGATGGAAACTGACTGCTGGAAAACATTGGTTAAAAAGTCTGTTTAGTCATATTTATGCGCGTTTGCGTTTTTAGAAGCGTTTTTAAAGATAAGCACAGGAGAACCTCCGAAATGCCCAGAATGCACTGAAAAGCGGTAAATTATGAACTATTTCAGACTGTTTCAGAGAAATACAGAGAGTAGAAGCAGAGACAGTAGTATGTGTTGAGATTAGCGTAGGTGTGAGTTGCTAATTAACATTTTTTTTTGTTTCCAAGGGTGGGAAAGGTGTCTGTTGGTGTCATTAAGGCCACCTGGCAGGGGGTCTTCATGTGGAATTTGAGGTGTGAATTGGTCATTACAATGTGTGACAAGCTTGGTAGGGACATCCTGTGTTCAGTGTTTTGTCCATTTGAGTACTTTTTGAAACGCTTTGCATGCATTTTTCATGATGAAAAAAGACTCTGGACAGCATTGGGAACTGGAAGAGTGAACATTTTTCAAATGCTTATAAATGCTTATTTTCAGCGTTTAGCTGCGTTTACAAGCGTTTTTTATTTGAAGCACTGATAAAATCGACTGCTGAGTTTTCTGCATTCAAAAAGACTGTAAACCCAACTGCCTGTAAACGACGATGTGTACATGGACACATAGGAAAACATTAGGGAGAGTTCAGGAGCTGCTGAAAAAAAATGCAGAAAAGCTCCTAAACGTGAGCTTATCAGCTGCAGTGTACATGAGCCCTAATTGCTAATTGTTTGGGAATAAAACTTGCATCACAATGATCTGCCTGTAGGCTATATGGGGGGGGGGGGGGGGGCGCAGGAATGACCCCATCTGCCCTCTCCATACTTATTCCCCCCCCCCCCCCCCTGCAATTTTTGTCTCTCTGGTGATTCACCTCAATACTCTGGGACACCCTGGCAATGATGGGATAAGTGCCCCTTACCTACACTGAGTGGTGTGTTGCAGGTAGCCATTGTGCTGTTTGTATGCCTATACAACTACATGTATGGGGCTTTTGTCTTTGAACTCCTGTTCTAAAACGTAGGGGTCCCGGGGCCCAGTCCTGTTTGTTGGTACATCCCAATTCCTTTTGGCACCCAGTATAGGGTTTTTTGCTTCTGTGGTATTTTTGCTATTTTTTTTTTAATCTTTGATATGTGATGTTCTGTGTTTAAAGAAATGAAAAAGTTTTGTAAATTAATGAAAAAAAATAATACAGGGCTGTGATTTTTCTGCTGTCCTATTTCGGAGTTCAACTGTATTTCCCACATGTTTTGTTTTGGGTTTTTGTTTTTTTTCTTTTTTTGAATTTGGTGTATAAGAGTTAAGTCAGATCAGATCGATATTTGTGTTTCAGAGACACCATGTGGAGGATTTTCACTGGCTCTCTGCAGCTGGAGGAAAAGTCCAATGTTCTCCTGCATGACCTGCGTGAAATTGAAGCTTGGATCTATCGTCTTCTGCGTTCCCCAATTTCTGTACCTGGCCAGAAAAGGGTTGATGTGGAGGTTCTGCCCTTGGAGTTGCAGCCACCCTTGACCTTTGCTCTTCCTGATCCCTCTCGTTTTTCGTTGGTGGATTTTCCTCTTCACTTGCCACTAGAACTTTTGGGAGTTGATGCTGCTTACAAGTCTTGTCCTGCATCCTGCTGGAGCACAAGGTATAGCCAGATGCTACAAAAGATGTATGCGTCAACTGGCTGTGTAAAATTTTGGCATGACTGTTTGCTTTGTGATGCATATTCATGATCATCTTCTGTTGTTGTTTTAAAGATTATTTTAATTTCAAATGTTTTTATTTTCAGGTTGTGCTGCAGTCCCGAGACTACAATGCATTGTCAATGTCTGTAATGGCTTTTGTATCCATGATTTATCCACTGGAATATATGTTTCCTGTAATTCCACTCCTTCCCACATGCATGGCATCTGCTGAGCAGGTAGGAAATGGTAACTTGTTCTATTCACCACTGATTTCTGATGAAATTTACCATGTTCTGATGACTGTAGTTCTTAATCCAGACCTGGAAAATCTCAGAACTGTCCCTGTAATGTCCACTTTATGAAGAGCTTGACAGCTAACTTTTGCAGCTGCAGATGGTGGGCCTGCACAGCTTCTTTGGATTCTGAGCCTGGCCCAGCAATTAGGTGGTCATCTGCAAATTCTCTCCCCAGGACCCAGAGTCCTGCTCTGGGTGGACATTACCAACTGGCAGGGAGACAGTGTAGTCCTAGAACTTGCTATCTCAATTGGGAATTTTTTGGAGTCCCCTTGGAAGTTCACAGACCTGCATCATCGTTCTGGTCAGATATTTTCAGTCTGCTTCCCCTTGGAGCTCACGTAGTTAAAACTGAACTCTAGGCAAACGGCAAATACACTGATGAAATACCTATACGGGAGCTGTTTTTTGCCTGCTAAAGGATTTGTATTTGTCCATTCAGGCCTGAGACTACAAAGTTCTGCCACACTTAACAATTCTGTCTAGTATTGGGAGCACCTTTATATTTCTCTGCTGCGGTTTTGCTTTCACTTACAGGTCTCCTCCCTACCCCACCCTGTGACTGGACAGTGAAAGGAGAAGGAGCAAGCTAATCTCTGGGTCACAATTCTCTCTCCTTCTATCAGCATACTCCTCTCACATTAGTATACCTGATGGGCTTCTTGTGCTTCTTCCCTTGTTTAAGCTCTCCGTACAGATTGCACAGTATAGTGCAAGAGGATGATCAAAATTGGATACTTCCACACATTGCATTTAAAAAATTACATTTAATGGATACATAACAATGTTAAGAGAAGTATGGGCTGTTGGAAACAAAACAAACATTCTACTTGATCCGATGCTGCATCTGTCCCCTGTTGACTCTGCACAGAGAACTGAGCGATCTAAGACCACAATTGCTTAGTTCTCCCCCTCCACTCGGAGCAAAGCACTGGGACTGTCAGTCTCCGGGTCTCTGCTCTGCCCATCCAGAGCGCACTGGAGAGCTGGGCAATGGAGGGGGTGGGAGGGGCTGGGCAGTGGATTGCTGAGAGGTTGAGCCAGGTGTCGGTTCTGGGTGGATCCTGACCATATGGTCGGGATCTTTTCAGAGCCTGGACCGGCTCTGTGATGTCAGTCAGCAGTGGGCGTCAACCCGCTGTTGGTTGAAATCAGGTCAAGAGTGCAGAAAACAAACTGCACTCCTGTGATCCATAGTAGAAGTACAGCCAAAAAAGCTTTGGCTATATTTTTCCTTTAATCTGCTTTTATCTGCGTGCAGTTCGGCTTTTTTGTGTCTATCAAATATTTTATATGCAATAAGCATTTAATATACAGGATGCCAACATGACACTCAGTTTGGCAAATATTGCGCTACTGATATACAGTATTTTATGTTTCTATTGAAAAAATGTTTTGTTTTTTTTTTTGTTTTTTTTGTTAAGCTTAAGCCATACCTACACACACAAATATACCAAAACACTTCACATTCCTTTCATGCAACTTGAATATGGTTGTATTCATTAGCTGTGTTAAATGTGCACACTGCAATGTCACAATGCTTCTGTGCAGCATAGGGATTCACTTCCAAGGTCCTCCTCTAGCTCCTATGTGTGAATTCCAGCATTGCCATAGCACTGTTAAAGAGATTTTCCGTAGCCTTGGACTACACATTAGTTAATTAAAAGGTGATTCATCCTCAGAGGAAAGATTCACATTCCTTATTTCTATGTACTTCTAAATTGTTTACACAAAATGGACTCTTCAGAATAGTGCAGCTTCAGAATAACAATCCTTTATGTAAGAAAAAAACACTTTCAATGCCAATTATATGGAAGATTAGCAAACATGTTTAGTTGGCTCTGTGTAGTTATCAATCCTTTTCAGCATACAGTAACAGCATGTCCAGTGTGCACACACTTCCAGCACCTCTCAGCACCTTTTGGCTGTGCTAGATACCAGATGTGGAAAAGAATACAAAAGTTCTCAAGTCTTGTTGGTCAGGAAAGAACTCAGTTTAAAAGTCATTACTTATGCAGGAGGGCGCTTCATGTTAAAATGGGGATTTCATTAGGTTTACTTTGCTGGCTAACAGGGCTGAATTCAGGGCATTGTTTTTTTCTTCTGCATTGGTGGTGGCCCCTTCCCTGTTAGGTGTATAATTCATTGAGCACTTACCATTTAGGACAACTGAGCAAAGGCGGCTTGGGCCACTATCCTTAGGAATGACAAAGCACAGGACTGTTACATCTTATATAAATCAATTGTGCATATGTTCTGTCCACAGAGGAGATTAGAACTTCCTTTAAAACCACTTCCCGTCCGGCCCATGTATATAAACGGCTGGACAGGAGCAGTGCAGGGGCGGGTGGACATTTATAAACTGCCTCCCCGCTCCCTGATTGTGCGTGCTTCCTGGGAGCACGCAGCACCGCAATCTGGTGCCCGCCGTGTTCTCAGGACACAGTGGAACACCGATCGTTGTACGGGAGCTCTGTGTGAGGTCCCGATCATGTGATCACTGATTGGCCAATCAGATCACATGAAGAGTAGTAAGCAAGATGTGACTTCTGACATCATTGCTTACTACGTGTGGATGATCACAGAGATCACATGGTACAAGGCTATTCACAACAGCCTTGTACCATGTGACAAGCTGTGACCAATCACAGCTTACACAGTATTTCTCAGTGGCTGCAAGAATGCAGCCAGAAAGAAGGAGAAATGGTTGCTTTTACAGCCTTTATGGGTGTAACAGCAATCAATGTAAAAAAAAAAAAAAAAAAAAACTTCATCACCCCCCACAAGTAGTACAGTGTCATTATGGTGACACTGTACTGCTAGGGTGACAGTATGTGGGGAAAAAAAGCATAAATAATATAAAAAAGTAAAATAAAAATGTTAAAAACAATTTAGAAAAAATATAATTTTTGGTTGTAAACTTTTTGTCTTTTTTCTGAAAGGATAACTGAATACATTTTTGGCCAAGATTTATGAAGAAAGATTTATTTGCAAAATTTTTATAAGAAAAACACTTTTTTTTTCAAAATGTTTGGACTTTCATTTATATAGTAAAAAAAAAAAAAAAAAATCCCAGTGGTGAATAAATACCACCAAAATAAAGTTTTATCTGTCTCCATAAAATGCAAAAAAATTCATATGGGTACAGTGTTGCATGACCGCACAATTGTCATTCAAAGTGTGACAGTGCTGAAAGCTGAAAATTGGCCTGGACAGGAAGGGGGTGAAAGTGTCCGGACTTGAAGTGGTTAAAAAGTAACATCTCCGGTTTCCTCCCACACTCCAAAGACATGCTGGTAGGTTAATTGGCTCCTGTCTAAATTGGCCCTAGTATGTGTATGTGTGAATTTAAGTTTCGGAACCTTAGAATGTACACCCCTTGAGGGCATAGGGACTGATGTGAATGTCCAATATATGTATGTGAAGCGCTGCATAAATTGATGGCGCTATAGAAGTATCTGTAATAAATAACATATAAGCCCTGATTGCTTTCCGTGGTAGTTGTACATATGCCGCACTCTGTTTGGCCTGCAGGATTATTAAAAGAAGTATGGGGTACTGAAAAAAAGTTTATAATCACCTAGGTAGATGCATGATCGCTCCAGTTCAGCATCTGTCCCCCGCCGCTTCTAGGACTCAGAACTGAGTGATCCAAGATCACTGGTCACTTGGTTCTCAGCCTTCAGTGAGCACAGGATGGTGACTGTAAGTCACTGGCTCTCTGCTCTGCCCCTCCAGCGCTCACTAGAACCTCAGGCTGTGGAGGGGACAGCAGTGCCTAGCTCAGGCTCTCGGCAGCTCACTGAGCGGGTAAGCCTGCTGCTGGTCCATTCATCTGGGTGGACCCCAGCAATTTATTTCGTCATTTTTTTCAGTGTCTGGAGCGGTGCTAAAGCCTGCTGTTGGCTGAAAATGGGTCACCAGAGTGCAGGACGAACTTCACTCCTATGATCCCCTGGAGAAGTAGAGCCAAAATAGCTTTGGCTCTACTTCTCCTTTAACTTGCAATAGAGCATCTGTTGTATATAGAATGTGTTGGTGTTTTTCACATAAGGATGTTTTTAGAGTTTTTTGTTCTGTTTTTAGCTGCTCTTGGCACCCACTCCGTACATCATAGGAGTCCCTGCTAGCTTCTTTCTCTACAAGTCTGACTTTAGGATGCCTGATGATGTTTGGCTGGTAGATCTGGACACTAACAAGGTGCGTACTGAACCTTTGTGCTCATTCTGTGCAGTTACCTGTAACGTCTCTGATTTCAATGGAATTTTTCTGTTTTCTTTCTGGCAGGTTGTCGCACCTACTAATGCAGAACTTTTACCCTCACTGCCAGAACCTGAAGCATCAGAGCTCAAGAAGCACCTCAAGCAGGTGAAGGGGAAGCCTATACACTGATTTTGTTGGTTTCTGCCAATTAAAGTTATTGCTTCACATGCAGGCCAATCTATTTTTGTTTTTTAAATTGTTTTATAGTGTGGCTGCTTTTTTTCTTTCCTCTAAGTCTCTTTCCTATATTTTGCATTTTTTTTCATTTTTCTTTTAGATTTTATATGTTCTTAAAGAACTACTAATCTAACCCAGACCACTCCATGCAGGGGCTTGCTTTACTCTAAATGGTGAAGGTTGCTTTCTCTGATGTTAACATCCTCAGACATCAAATAATTTCTGGTGCTGGCTGCACCTACAGAGTAATTCCTCATAGACAATGGAGACACTAGAAGTATGTCTCAGTTCAAGTCTAAGGTGCAGGATTAGCCATTGGCAGGGAAGATTTTAATCTGAGGATGTTAAAAACTATTAGTCCCCGACTAGGTAACTCTTTGTGGTGGTTGTGTAGGTTAGATTCAGTTAATGGGTAAGGGACAGGGTTACGTGTTCATATTTTTATTTTTATTTTTTAATATTATCAATGAAGTTGACCTTTTTAGGCTCTTAACTCATCATAGTCACTTTCTGTTTCATGCTGTAACTTTCTCTTCTCTTGTTTTGCCTCTTACTTTCCCCCCAATATATTTCGAGCACGTTATCTGTTAGCCTGTATTTATTTTTTATATTTGATTTATTTAATTTCTCATTCTCATGCTCTTTCTCCATGTCCATTCTTTTTGCTCCTCCCATCTCCTCCGATTCTGCCGTGGTCTCCCTTTCCCCCCCACCCCCTTTTTTTTTTTCTTTTTTTTTTCTCTTCACTCTCCCTATTTTTCTGGCTTTCCTTTTCTCTTTCCTCTACTTTCAATTGCCCTTTCTCTCCCTTACTCATTTCTTCTTTTTCTCTCTCCATCCATTCACTTTTCGCTCCCTTACTCTGTTGATTTTTATCTTGTGCTTTTGTATCTGTTTGTGATGCAGCTGGCTACCACAGCGTATCACAAAGCTGCTTTCTGCAAAGGAATCTACCAGTTTGGATCCTATTGCAGTGCTACTATGTTATCTTGTGAGCTGCTGTTGTATGTTTTATTTAATGCATTTTATATTCTTTATTTTTATACTACAATTTAGAGGTTCCCACTTTTCTATCTATCCTCAATTAAGAACAAACGTGCTCTCCATTTTCTCATCTGTGCTCTGTGATTGGTAATTTATTTCCCTCCATCCTGTCTCTTCTGTGATCATGTGTCCGTCTTGTCTCTGATTGGCCGCTGGTGTTGTAATGTGACGTCCTCTCAGTGTCTGCACAGCATGTCCGTGATCACGCAGCAGCGCCTTCTCGCCTCCGATAACAAGGTTTTTTCTGTTCTTTCTTCCTATTACTAAGATTTCTCTGACCTTATTGTGTGTAGGTGTTTCCTGTGGACAAAGAGCAGATCTCTGCCTGGGCACAGTAAACCTAGATCAGAATATGCTGTTTAATCAGATCAGCATACAAGGTTTATTGACTTGTGGTTTTGTTCCAGGGGATTATCTGCATCAACTAATCCTGTGCAGTAGAAATTATAATCCTGTTCAAAATAATAGATTGCACCATTTTTTTTTCTGGGCTTTTACGGTTCTTGCCTGTCCAGAAATATTAAGATTGTTGTAAAAGTCAGCCGCTTCTAAGTCTGTTATGTTGAGGCCTACATAATGTAGATAAATGGGCATTAGAAATATCAACATGATCTAATGCCGGCCTTGCCATTCTGAGGATTGGGACGCCTGAACCATTTCAGGTAACTCCACTTTTATCAGCTTTAGCCATAAACACATTTGACCAAATGTTTGGACTCTGGGTGAGGTGTGCCAAGGCTGGACAGGTGACAATAGCCTACTACTTGTACAGTCAGATGTGACTCTTATGCAGTCATATTTTCCATATCAGCCATTTGATATCAAAACAAATATTGATCAGTCCAAGTGGTAGTTATCACTATATACAAATGTGGGTCTTTTGGCATATTAGGCCTAAAATAAACAATACAACAAACACTTTACTCCTGTGCTAGGAAAGGACTCAGTAGACCCAATAGGAATGTTCTGGAATTTTCTGGAATATGCACTGCTTGCTGCCCTCAACAGACCGGGGTGGTCCGAATACACTGGATACAAATGGAGAAACAGAAAAAGGGCACACCGACCTAGTGCAGTGGTGGGCAACCTTTTTTTTTCAACTGAGCCAAATCTCGCCAAAACCACGATTGAAATTTATTTTGAGAGCTACATTTTTAAAACTGAAAATTCACCCCCCCTATAGTAATTCATTCCCCATATTGTGTCAATTCACTTACCTTTGCTCCGCGCGTTCCTCTCGCCGTGTTCCCGCGCCGTTCTGGTCTTCAGGGCGGACTGTGAGAGGAGAGGAGTTCGTCACACTGCCCCGCCTACATCCTGGCTGCCCCGCCTACATCCTGACAGCTGCAGAGTCCTGACTTTTGGGGCGGCCGCCCGAGAGGAGGGAGGGGAGTGGGCGCCCGGCACACAGAAGAGCCGCATTTAAGTTTGTAAAGAGCCGCGGCTTGCCGACCACTGACCTAGTGCATTATCGTTTAAAATAATTTATTAAAGAAACAAAAATAGGTATCATACTCACAATGGACATAATAACACAAGCATGTCAAACTGAACAAGACGTATGATCCAAACAACATCTGAGTCCATACGATGGAACCCTGGATGACCAACTGGAGCCATTTGGTCATTCAGGGTTCCATCGTATGGACTCAGATGTTATTTGGATCATACGTCTTGTTCAGTTTGACATGCCTGTGTTATGTCCATTGTGAGTATGATACCTATTTTTGTTTAATAAATTATTTTAAATGATAATGCACTAGGTCGGTGCGCCCTTTTTCTGTTTCTCCATTTGTATCTAAAATAAACAATATAGCTGAAAACTGACAGTCGCCTTCAGTATGTCCACCATCATATTAACATCACTCCAAATGGTTGAGTTTAGGTCTTTTCAGTCTACTGCCAATGCTACAGTATGCAAAGACCTTTAGATAATTGTGCACTTGTAACCTTGGAGCAATAGATTGGGGGAAGGCCCATTTTCTGTTCCCGCATACCTGTGCACGAAGCCAGACCCATTAGGACATGATTTGATGAAGCTGATGCAGAGGAATATGAGTGGCCTGCACAGAGCCCTGACCTCAACCCTTCTGAATAACTTTGGGATGAATTGGAATGCTGATTGTTTGCCAGGGCTTCAATTCAGTGCTTGTATGGGTAAGCCATGCCCAGGGGGGTGATTTGAAAGCCACAGTTTACATTATTGTCTTTTTCTCCTGTGCAGGCCCTGGCTAGTATGAGCCTAAACACCCAGCCTATCCTTAACCTAGACCGATTCCATGAGAGCTCAGAGGCTGCCATGCTTCGACCCCACAGCGATGCCCAGGGTACCCCCTCCACGGAGTTTAACCCCCTTATTTATGGGAATGATGTTGACTCTGTAGACGTGGCGACACGGTAAGGCATCAGATGCTATTGTGTTAGAGCTTGTAAGGTGTTTGTTAAACCTTGGTCAGTTGTATGCTGCTATTGTAGTTCTTGCAGTGTTCAGATATGATGTTATTATAAGCTTTCCCATATGTACCACCTATTTACGCTGCTGTTTCTGTATTTGATGTTACTGTACAGTAGTTTTTCATACAGGTTCGCCTTCTTTTTGGGCCTTGTCGACATGTTTTTGTTATTTTTAAGCAGGTTTGTATTCCCAAAAAATCTATAGATATGCCATTCCCCCATGGAAGCAGGTCAATATTGTATTTTTATCTGTTTATCCCACTCCAAACCCTCTTTCATCCTTCCTTTCCAACCTACACCTTGTCTCCTTTGTATTATTGAAAGAATGACTATTAACCTAAAATAATGTCTTCAACTCTTCTGGGAAGGATGTCCACAAGGGTTAGGAGGGTGTCTATGGGAATGTTTGACTGTTCTTTCAGAAGCACATTTGTGAGGTCGGGCACTGATGTCGGACGAGAGAGGGTCTCTGCTCTATTTCATCCCAAAGGTGTTCTGTCGGGTTGAGGGCAGGACTCTGTGCAGAACAGTCAAGTTCTTCCACCCCAAACTCATCCATGTCTTTATGGACCTGGTGTGCAGTCATGTTGGAACAGGGAGGGGCCATTTCCAAACTGCCCACAAAGCATGAAATTGTCCAAAATGTCTTGGTGTGCTGACCCTTTAAGGGTTTCCTTCACTGGAACTAGGGGGACAAGCCCAACCTCTGAAAAACAACCCCACACCATAATCCCCCCTCCACCAAACTTTACACTTGGCACAATGCAGTCAGGCAAGTACCATTCTCCTGGCAACTGCCAAGGCCAGGCACGTCCATCGGATTGCCAGACAGAAGCGTGATTGGTCACTCCAGAGAAGACATCTCCGCTGCTCTAGAGTCCAGTGGCAGTGTGCTTTACACCACTGCATCCAATGCTTTGTATTGCACTTGGTGATGTAAGGCTTGGATGCAGCTGCTCAGCCGTGGAAACCCATTCCATGAAGCTCTCTACTCACTGTTGTTGTGCTAATCTGAAGGCCACACCAAGTTTGGAGGTCTTTAGCTATTGACTCTGCAGACAGTTGGTGACTTCTGTGCACTGTGTGCTTCTGCATGAGCTGACCCCGCTCTGTCATTTTACGTGACCTATCACTTTGTGGCTGAGTTGCTGTTGTTCCCAGTTGCTTCCACTTTGTTATAATCCACTAACAGTTGACCGTGGAATATTTAGTAGTGAAGAAGTGTCACGGATGGACTTATTGCACAGGGGGAAACCTATCACAGTACCACGATTGGAGTCACTGACCCATTCTTTCACCAATGTTTGTAGAAGCAGTCTGCATGCCTAGGTGATGATTTTATACACCTGTGACCATATGGAGGTGATTGGAACACCTGAATCCAATGATTTGGAGGGGGGTCCAATACTTTTGGCAATATAGTGTATATACACATGCCTTTACTTCAGAGTCGGTCTTTTGTCCTTTGGTCATGTTTTATCTGTGTTACCTCACAAGCTGACCAATATTCCTCTTATGTACTTTGTTTGCTTGTTCTTAAAGTACAGCCAGAGGCACCTTAATGTCAGTCTAAGCAATTGCCAAATCCAGTTATATGAGGCTCAAGTCTCAAAGTTTAAAAAAAAAAAAAAACAAATCTGCTTTTATCTTCTCTGACAGAGCCAAATCTTCCCCCTTAGGTGCACACTCCCTCCCCCAGACACTGCAGCTCGCAGGGGGGGGGGAGGGTTTCAGCTGTCAATCCAGTGCTATCAATCCAGAAAGCAGTGGTTGGGATTAGGTGTGGCCATTTGCTGACTGAGAAGCTACAGACTAGTAAATCGGCAGTGACACTACTGATGGCCACACTCCCTGCAGCATATTTACATCCTACTGTATGCAACAGACACCGCCTACACAAGAGTGGCAGTTCAGGAGAAGGGGAACATTGTTCCTCCATCATGGGAAGCTCCATTAGAAGCCTTCGAACTGCAGCACATATTTTTAATGAGTGTTCATAGTTCTATTTTAATAATAAAAATATTTGAAAACAAAATTTGTATCATATTTTACTTGAGGTGATTGTAGCCGTATTAGTGCATATTTTAAGAATTTGAGCTGCCTGCAAGTTTAAGCTTTAGGCATGCACATCCAACAGATTCCACAATACAATGCAAGCTCCTCTTCAACCTCTTGAGTGGTTTATAAACATTAAAAGCTCACACAATTTGCTCTGGATTTTGGTTTCATGCCTGCTGATGTCTAAGGCTGGCCATAGATGGATTGGATTTCGAATGAAATTTCTTAGGAAGAGTCTTAATTTGTATGAAAATTATCAGAACATTCAAATGTAGCTTGAAAGATTTTGTTTGCTTTTAGCATTTGATTTTGGAATGAATGGTCTCTACCGAACAAAAAAAAACATACACAATTAGAAATTCATTTGCTCATGAAAAAGTTTCCATGATCCTACTCCACTAATAGAATAATGAACATTCTTCTAAGAATTTACTTTCAAAACTCTACCCAACTATGGCCAGATTAAGGGTAAAGCTGGGTATATATGGACCGAAAATTGCCCAATTCAGCAGGAACTGGCTGCATTTCGCTTTGTGTACTCCTTTCTGTTTTTCAGAAGCCGGTCTTATGACTGGCTTCTGTTGAAAGTGGTTCTAAAGGCTTAATGCTTTTTACCTTTATGCACTGTATGCATGACGGTAAACCTTCAGTGTGCAGCAGCCCCCCTTCCTAATACTTACCTGAGCCTGACCTCAGTCCAGTACAGGAGATTCTGCTTTCCCTTGTCTCTCTCTACTCATTGGCTGAGACGCAGCAGAGATAGCCAATGGCTCCTGCTGCTGTCAGTCACAGCATGTGAGGATGGAGTGGGGGATGGGGCCGAGTCCAACTTTGCTGTGACTTATGGATGCAGAGCGTAAGGTTCGCTTGCCATGGGGGCACTGCTCAGGGGGGAGGAGCCAGGAGCTCCAGCGGGGGACCCAAGAAGAGTAGGATAGGGACTGCTCTGTGCAGAACCACTGTACAGAGCATGTAAGTATAACATGTAATTTAAAAGAAAAATAACTAGCCTTTAGTATCACTCGAACAGTCCTGCTGGAAAAACAGCATTTGATCAGCGCTTGCAGCCAATGGCTGCAGTGCTGGTCAGTGTATTCTGACAGCAGGGGTCCTTACTGTCAGAATACTTTAGCGCAGCGGGCGGAATCCCTGCGTTCAAATAGCTTGTGTGTCCATTGGGATCTGTGAGTTTTTGAACTTAAAAAAAACTTCCCGTGTATACCCAGCTTAACATATGACTGCAGGAAATGCCAGCCCTATAGAGATTGTAGACCGTTACAAAATCTTTATTACACACATCCTAATCCTAGTACACATTACAACAAAGTCATGTGAACTATCTAAATAAGAACAAAACAAAAATGCCAATGATGGTATGAATATTCTCGAGTGGAAGAGAAAGTTTCCACATGCGTAGCCATGTTTCAGCATAGCCACACTTTACAGCAACATACGTTCAAAGTGCCAAGGAGTTTTCGTTCATTATTGATACATTGGTCCATTCGATATACACTGCTCAAAAAAATTAAGGGAACGCTTTGAAAACACATCTGATCTCAATGGGAAAAATATCTTGCTGGATATCTATACTGATCTGGACTGGCTAATGTGTTAGAAATGTAAGGATGCCCCATTGTTTGGTGAACATTAAAATGATCAACCTACAGAGGACTGAATTCAAAGACAACCTGAAAATCAAAGTGAAAAAATGATGCAGCAGGCGAGTCCATTTTTGCTGACATTTAATTGCAGCAACTCAGAATCGTCCTCAGTAGTTTCTATGGCCCCCACGTGCTTGTATGCATGCCTGACATCGGGGCATGCTCTTAAGGAGATGACAGATGGTGTCCTGGGGTATTTCCTCCCAGATCTGGACCAGGGCATCATTGAGCTTCTGGACAGTCTGAGGCACAATCTGGCGGTGTGGGATGGACCGAAACATGATATCCCAGAGACGTTTTATTGGCTTTAGGTCAGGTGAGCGGGGGGGTATGGAATTCAATGGTACCAATTCATTCATCCTCCAGGAACTGCCTGCATACTCTCAACATGAGGCCAGGCATTGTTATACACCAGGAGGAACCCAGGACACACTACACTAGCGTAGGGTCTGACAGTGGGTCCAAGGATTTCATTCCCATACCTAATGGCAGTCAGGGTGCCGTGGTCCAGCCTGTAGAGGTCTGTGCGTCCCTCAATGGATATGCCTCCCCAAACCATCACTGACCCACCACCAAAACAGTCATGCTGAACGATGTTACAGGCAGATAATGCTCTTCATGGCTTTTGCAGACCCTTTCACGTCTGTCACATGTGCTCAGGGTAAACCTGCTCACATCTGTGAAAAGCACAGGGTGCCAGTGGCGGACCTGCCAATTCTGGTGTTCAATGGCAAATGCCAATCACGCTCTATGGTGCCAGGCAGTGAACACAGGCACATACTAGAGTATGGCGGGTCCTCAGGCCACCCTCGTGATGTCCGTTTCTGATTGTTTGGTCAGAGACATTCACACCAGTGGCCTGCTGGAGGTAATTTTGTAGGGCTCTGGCAGTGCTAATCATGTTCCTCCTTGCACAAATGAGCAGGTACCGGTCCTGCTGATGGGTTAAAGACCTTCTACAGCCCTGTCCAGCTCTCCTAGAGTAACTACCTGTCTCCTGGAATCTCCTCCATGCTCTTGAGATTGAGCTGGGGGACACAGCAATCCTTCTGGCAATTGCACGTATTGATGTGCCATCCTGGAGGAGTTAGACTGCCTGTGCAACCTCTGTAGGGTCCAGGTATCTCCTCATGCTAGCAGTAGTGACACTGACCCTAGCCAAATGCAAAACTAGTGAAAAACAGAAAAGATGAGTAAGGAAAAAAAAATGTCAGTGGCCTCCCC